CACAATTTTTTGTTTGGACAAACATATATGCCATTAATGAGTCATGCAAAAAACATGACCAACAACATGAATTAAGATTATAAATATGACAACCAGTTTTGTGAACTTGTGTTGACTTACCAAAGACCTTTTTGGTGTATCCAGAAGGCCTGTGATGTCACATATGGAAGTTGTTAAAAAAAATAAAGTACAGTATTTAATATTAGAACAGAAAACAATCTTATTTATTTTTCTTTCTTTTTTTTTCTTTTAAAAGAAAGAAAAATTAAAGATGATCTAAAACCTGCTCACCAAAGCTATCTCCAGGTTTTTCACAGGATCTATCAAACCTTTGACTACAAAGAATAGGAAAGAAAGTTTCATTAACTTCTGCTTGACTTTCATATTATATGAAATTTATATTCTCATACTAATGAACATAATTACCCGTCTGTGGCTGAACCAAACAAACAAGGGCTTGATTCTGTCCAGGGAAATGCTGATGAGTCTTCATTAACCGCTGGGTGGAAACAAAACAATTATAAAGGATTATGTACTTTATTTATACATACTTCATACATAACACAACAACTACGATACCTTCATAAGGAGACTCTTCATTAGGAATGGAAGCAGGGGACTGAAAGTGTGGTTGCTTGAATATTTTGGGTGTAGAAAACAGCTGACTGGCCAGGGCTGATGTCTCTGGTACTTTGACAGTCTTCTCCTCCTCCTCCTCAACTTTTGAACTGTTAGGACGTTCTTCATCTCTGGAAGCTTTTGCAGTCAACTCCTCAAACCAGTCAGGATTAAGAGGTCCAAGCTCTTAATTCACAATAATTCAGATTAGTTTCAAAGATTTGAAATGGGGTAGCGCTATATATATATATATATATATATATTCATTCATATTATTATAAGTGTCTACCTTTGTCAATTTGGTTAAAGAAATTGTCAAACATGCTGCCATGAGTGTGATGGGGTTAAATCCGAACCAAGCACAATAATGTTTTCATTGGACCTAGCGTACAGATAAACAAACAAAAACATAAACATGTAAAACAGTGTATCTTCTATCTCTGACATCAATGTATCTGGTTTATATTACGTAGTTAACGAGTAACAGTTTGTCAGAGAGATTTAAGTAACTGTATTTAAAAGTAACTGTTCCATGTCATGCATATCACTGTTTACTCAGCTAACGTTATCTGAACTAGCTACAAACAGGAAAACGGGTCTGGAAGTTACCGTAAATGAACGTGTTGGCACAGATGAAAGCTTTTTGGAACTTCTGAGTTTTCGAAGTTAATTGAAATGTCTTCTTCATCTCCGATTCAAGATGTTTTATTCCCTGAAGCGTTCTGAGAGGATCTGTTTATTCTGCGCGTGGTGGATAAAGCTGGTTTAACACATCCCGCCAATAAGCGCCGTGTCGTCAACAGAAGAGCTGTTGTCTCGACCAATCAAAATGCGAGCGTCAGTTCAGGGGGCGGACTTGCAGCACTGAATCGAAACTGGAAATAGTTGATTACAGATTTATTAAGAGAGAGAGAGAGAGAGAGAGAGAAGAATTTCTTTGCGTATATTCTACTCTAATCTATTCTATGCTAAAACTTCTTTTAACTTTTTGAATTACTTTAATAATAAAAAATAATTTAAATTAAACGTTTCGTTTTATGTTATAATACATGATGGAGTGTGCATAGTTTTGGACAGTTTGTTCAGTAGTTTATATTTTTTATTTACAAATTATTGGTAGTTTATATAGTATAGTCTCAATTCACATTGAGTAGACAGAGTTTTTCTTCCTCATTTGAAGCATTTTATCACCTGTTATTTTATTTACTTCTTTATACTTTATGCTTATTCCATAAATAATGAATTAATATCTAAAAAAATGTCATTTGCACACATTTGTTTTAGACACTTTTATGTTAGATAACAGTTATGACACATATCTCAACTAAACTTAGAATTTTGTCTGTTAAAAAAACAGAAACATGTTTTAAAAAACAGCCATGTGAAAATGCAAGAAATAAACATATTTGAGGATTGTGCCATTTCACTGTCAACAAGCACTTCTGTTTGCACAACTGACAAAATACAATTTTTGCCTTTGAGTGAGAAGCGTGTTCCTGCACAACCGGAGGCTGCAGTTTCAGGACCGCAGTTCTAGGAGCCTATTCTTTTGTAACAGCGCCACCTACCGAATTGGATAATATAGCGGAGGCTGCAGTTTCAGGACCGCCTTTCTAGGACCCTGGTGGTTTAGTTTGTAGTAATGTTTGTACATGTTGTTAAATATATTGAATCTCAGAAACATTTTTTTTTTTTTCATTTGTGATTTTTGATTTATAAATGCATCAGATGTTAATTACAAAGTGTGTAATACCTGCTTTGAGTTAACAATTTTAAATTTAAATGAATTTACACTTAAAATATAAATGAAAAATGTATTTCAGTCTTTAAACAACTGAAAAAGTGGAGTACCTTAAGTCTTATTTTCTTGAAATATACTGTATATTGATTAGCCCCCTTAAGTTTAACTAGCTCATTATCAGGTATAATAAAGATGGAATCAAATGAAATCAGCATTTGCAGTCACTAAATTACAGCCAGATACCAATAAAACATCAACATCTGATCCTCTGTAATTCTCAATAACAGCAGGTGTTCATCATGCAGTTTCAGGACCGCAGTTCTAGGACCCTGTTCTTTTGTAACAGCGCCACCTACCGAATTGCATAATATAGCGGAGGCTGCAGTTGTTAAAGATATTGAATCTCAGGAAAAAAAAATTTATTTCAATTGTGATTTTTTAGAATTAAATTAGAAACATTTGCTTTAACATGTTTAACTCTGTAATATATATTTCTGATTTAACACTTATGCACTGTTGGGGTTGTAGAGAGAGAGAGAACCAAACAGAATAATCATGTTACTGACATCTAACTCCAAACTCCAAATGTAAGTATATAAGAGCAAAACCCACAAACTGAATGTTCTCTCTTCTTTCCTCAATTGTTTGTCAATCCGGTAACACTTTCTATGAAGCCTGTATTTATAATACATTATAAGGGTTTTCTTAAGGCATTATAATTAATGCATAAAGCATTATTAAAAAAGCTTAATAATATGTTGTATCATCTCATAAATAATCATAACATTTATAATACATTATAATACTTACGCATTTGTGGTTATAACTTTTAAGAGTATGATTACGTATAACACACAATGAATACCATAATAAATCCACTTAATTTATAATGGATTATCTTGACATTGTTTATTTAAGATCTGGACAGTATCTTACTACATCTTGTGAGTGGTTAGGAGTGGTTGAGTGTTGTTTTGAGTGTTTCCTGTGAGGTTAATATTAATTTTGCTGTGAGCTAGTTTAAGACCAGTTGTAATGCTTTCAAATGAAAAAATGCAACGTGTGTTTTTTTTATTAGATTACATTTTATTTTGCTGGTCCCCTTTAGTCTATTGACTATAAGCAACTTTGCAACTACATGTCAACTAACTCTTATTAGAGTATTAGTAGGCTTAGTTAAGGTTAGGGTTGGTAGAATAAGTTGATGTACTTGCAAAGTTGCTTATAGTGAGTAGAATATCTGTTGGGGAACCATCAAAAAAAGTGTTAGCAGATATTTAGCATACAGTCTACTAATACTCTAATGACTGCTAGTTGACATGTAGTCGCAGAGTTACTTATCAACAGTTGTCTAAAGGCTACCATCAAAATAATCAAATTGATATTACAATAAAAATAGTTCAAAGCAAATGTGTACACATTCATCTGATCTGATATCAGATCTTATGGCTGTTTGAGAAAAATTATTATTATTATTATTTATAAGTGGTCTTTGTCTGCTTTAAGTACAGTGAAGTTACTTCACTTAAAGCAGACAAAGAGCACTTAATAATAATAAGACCACATTAAAGCATTTTGGAATGTTTTCATGAAGACTTTGTATTTGTTATTTTACAGTAAAAACACAAATAAGATGTACTAAGTTATTGTGCAGATCTTAAACAATGGCAAGATATGAGACCTATAATACATTATAACTATGAGAAATATAATCCATTGTAACTTAAGTGGATGCAATGTGTTCATTGTGTGTTATAAATCATCATACACTTAACCACAAATAAGTATTATAATACATTAAAACTGTTCTTATGATTGTTTATAAGATGATGCAAGATATTATAAGGTTTCTTATAATGCATTATTCATTCCTTATAATGCTTTAAGAATAACCTTATAATGTATTATAAATACAGGCTTCATAGAAAGTGTTACCGACAATCCTTCTATTAAAATCTTCCACTTCATTGAAATAGTTAATAGAGAACAATCACTGTTGGGTTAACAGAAATATCAGTAACAAAAGGTGCACTGGGCATTGTGCAAAAATAATTCATATTCTACTCTGACCTGTAATGATAATCCGGACCAGAAAGGAAGACCTGCTCAGCCTCCTGCAATGAGAAATCCCGTAGGACAGCCAGGGCATATATGATGGCCTATGAAAACCCCATTTTTAGGGTGCTAAAGGTCCCGGGTTCAAATCCCGGACGAGCCCATAGTGAGGTTTGGACCTTAAGCGCTATTGTCCATGTCGTCCATCTTTAGTGATCCAATTCGGTAAGTGGCGCTGTTACAAAAGAATAGGGTCCTAGAACTGCAGCCTCCGGTTGTGCAGGAACATACTATTGGCTTTGAGTGTCTTTATTATTTCCGTTGTGGTGCACCAGAGGGCGCACTACCATAAAAATACTACATAATGCATTGCTTGATTTCAGTTTTGATCCTCTCATTTAAGATTACCTTTAGGAAAAAAAGTCATTTAAATTGTATAATTTAGTTCTACAATAAAAATAACAACAAACAAAAACAAACAAACAAACGTGCATCCTAAAATCATTCTCACTACATATCTAAATCTACTTAAGCACATAGACATAAGTATCCATATAAAAAACCCACTGACTAAGCAGACTTTTTCATTAATATTATTTATTGATCTATTTATTGCATGCACACTATTTATACAGTAGACAGCAAAATAAAACCATAAAAATAAAATCTTACAAGTCTGGGCTACACTCCCACTACTATGTACAAATCTTTCATTTAAAATAATTTCTTATTCCATAAATATCTCTATTTCGTCTTATTGTACATACCTTTGAATGCTTGGCCATTTCAATAGACAGAATAGACATAATTCCATCCTAAAAAACTATACTATTTTACGATGATCAAAACATGATCTTCCTTTTAAGAATATAAATAAACCTTCTAGGAGCAACTAAACAGTAGAAAGACATTAGTAAAACCAAACACCCCCTTTCATAAATAAGTGCTGGATGACCCCTTTATGCATCCAGGTCTCTCTGACTGTAGCATTGCATTGTGTTAGAGACATTCTGTCTGTACAGATAAAAGCTGAGGCATGGGTGCGCACTGTGAAAAGTCTGATCTTTTTAAACATTTTTTTAAAAAGCCACATTAACAACGGCTTTCCGTTTTTATTTGAAATAAAAAAAGCAAGAATAGAACATTTATGTATCATCAAGTAGCTGAGAGCACTGAAATTTTAAAACATTCTCTCTAAGATGAAAAGTTTCACTTGGTGTGAGGCATTGCACATTTTCCCGTTACATGTATAATGGTAGTTTTTGGTATACCTTTGATGCCTGCAGTGATAGAGGCCCCATTTCAGAGGCAGGGGCGGCCCCTTACATACACAGTAGTGCAAAGAAGCCAAGGATTCGACTTCTTTTTCTGTCCCCTGTTGCATTTTTCCAGGCTATATTAGCTGTACATCCTTGAAGCTCTTAAGGTAAGCAGAGGCAGGACAGTAATGAGTGCACTAGGGGAGAACAGTGAAGGCAGCAGCAACTTCAGACAGGAGTGGTGGAAAGAAGGCCAATGCCGGCCTGATCCCTTAAAGTTCAACTCAAAGGCTGATGCCGGTCACGCTGGAGTCAGGAAGGAAGGCAGTGATGGCCCGGTAGCCCTGTGCCCATCGAATCATGTCTCGGATCTCGCAGTTGAGCTCAGTGAGTCGGTTGCATATCTCAGATAGGTCTTGTTTTGAACCGACCAGGGCAAAGGTTCCTGTCTGACCCAGAGTTTGGTGCCGGAAATAGATGTTGAGTAGAGTCTGAATCTCATTCTCGGAGCTGCTGCCGAAGATGTCACTTGGCCACATTTTCCTGAAACAAAGTGATTATAATTATTTCACATAATTAAAATACAAAGCACTGCATATTACTCCACTGTTACTGCACTGCATATTACTCATTCATTTTCTATTCCTGAAGAGGTTATCAATAAATCGAAGGAATAAATGTCAAGGAATAGTCCACCCAAAAATTCAAATTCTGTCATTATTTACTCACCCTCATGTCGTTCCAAACTTCTATGGATTTCTTTCTTCTACAGAACACAAAAGAAGATATTTTGGAAGAACCAAACAGTTTAGTTTCCCATTGACTTCAACTGTATGACTTTTTTGTCCATACAATGGAAGTCAATGGGAACCAAAACTGTTTGGTTACTAACATTCTTCAAAATATCTTCTTTTGTGTTCCACAGAAAGATGTGAATACAGTTTTTGAGTAAATAATAACAGAGATTTAATTTTTGTGTGGACTATCCCTTTAAATTCCATTATAAAACAATAAGCTGCAGTCATTTCTCTGGGTGGGAAGTTTACCTGCATTCCTGTATGTAACGGATGGCTCTGGAGAACTCGTTGGTTTTCAGGCTCTCTAGAATGGCCTGCACAGCAGCCTCAGAGGAGCTGAAGTGGGATTCAGTGGTGGGTTCTCTCGGCTCAGCTGCGGACTCATTGGCCACTGAGGCTGCTGCTGCCCTCAGGTTACTTCTCAACTCACTCAACTCTCTGGATATGTTCTGCAGCTAAAAGGGAGAACATTTATATGTGAACATACATGTATCATATGAATTATTTTCTGAGAAAAACTGAACCCTTCCAAAAAGATACAGTGGCGGTACCATAAGTACAGGAGTTGGAATCTGCTCATTTAGCAGTTTTGCGTGAGTGCGAAAAAGTTGCCCACAAAGATTTCGTTCATGTTTAAGTAGGCCAGGCGGAGTCACCATGCTGACCAACAGAAAGCTGGTTGGTTTGAAAGTGACTTCTGTTTGAGCAGAACTTCATACATCGCAACATTATTGACAGTGCACCTTTTTGGCCCACAAAATGTAACTAAAATAGCGCTAATGTGACCACACCTTAAAACAAGAGAATGAATTAGCACAATGTGGCCATAATTTAACTAAAACAAGCAAATTAATTAATAAGCTATGGGAACAAATTCTTAATTTGTGGCCATAATCTCTTTTTATTCTGTGCATGTCATGTTCAGGCCCCCATACTAAATAAGTAAGATTTGCAAGCCAGACTTTTTCTATTCCAGTAAAAAATGTCTTAATCAAACTCAAGATGATGAGACACTGATGTCAACATACCTCTGGTATAGAGTTTATAGCGTGAACTTGGCCAATCAGTTTACAGTAAGACTGAAAAAGCAGCAGCAGTTGAAAGTGGAGTTTGTAGAGTCTTTGACAAAGCTCCAGTTGCTGTAAACAAAACAGAAATAAAATTAACACCACAATCTCATTTAAAAGTTCTTTAAATCTTCTTAATATATATGAAAGAAGTTACTACACAACAGTTGCAGAAAACCAAACAAGGATACAAGCGTGTTAACAAAATAGTGTTTTCATTTAAAAAAATATGAGGCCTGTGAAAAAATTTGACAATATCTGCATTTAGAACAAGGGAAATGGGACATGAGGCCCAAAAGATTTTTGTCAAACTTACTGCAAGAGATTCCATTTGCTATAAAGCAGGCATTGCAAGACAAAAGGTGAGAAGTGAGAAGGAAGTTTTGAGTATAGTGTGAATACATGCAGCCAACAGTGGCACAGGCAATATAAAGCATGAGCAATGGCTCCATCATGCATGAGCAGAAAAAGTGAATAGACAAGCAGAGAAAGAAAAAGGGTCACAGATATGCCCTCTTATTTTTATTTTTGCATGGGGACTGTGCTGGGTAAGAAAAAAACCAAGATGCAATCACTACCCATATGCCTTTTTTATTGCTTTAACTGGTTACGGCTTGAAGGGATCTTGAAGGGTTGAAAGCAGGTATATGTTAGATTACATTTTAGAGTCAGGAAAGAAACTTTTTCAGGGTTTCTTTAAACTTCTTCAAAGCCCAGCAGAGAAAGACCCCTCATACCAAACATAAGAATAGGGGGCGCTGTTGTGAAGTAACACAGCTTGTGTTTGAAACAGGCTTAAAGTTATAGAGCAAACAGATAGAAAAGAGATGTCACTCACAGAGCTATCACAGAACAATTGAAATGCAGAAAATATAAAGAAGTACATTGAAATGGAATCTGAAAAACATGTTGGTCAACTAGTCTCACTCATATCTCAGGATGCAACAGACATTACAGTGGCATCAATCAGTGGACAATGCAGCCATACCGAAACATTCACACAGAGTAATATCTATATATATATATAAAGAAAGACAGAAACTCATGCATTATTTGTGGTACACCACCACACTGTCGTTTTAGGGTTGTGTCAAAGTATTAGACAGCCGAACTGTTAAAGTTCCAGTTTGCAAAATGTTGAGATCTAAATCATGTACTTAAATAATAAAGACGTTCCTTTATTAGTTTTCTTTGGAATTGCTGCCTGTCTAACTGTTATGTTAAAAAGCAGAGGTGTCATACCTTCTCTTCCGTTTCAGCAGGCTGATGGGTGATCACTCCATCTCCAGTGCATTTGGGGAAACTGGCCTTGCAGTTGCGTAGCCACTGAAAGAGTCACAGGCAACAGTAAGTTACATAGAACAAGCTGTAGTGCTTTTTATTTACAGCTTCTATGATGAAATTGTATATAAACAGTATACTGCATATATTCATATATACTGTATATTCTTATTCCCTACGGTTCAAAAGTTTGGAGTCAGAAAATTAATTATGTTTAATTCCATATTATACACACATAACATACTAGAGATTTTCGAAATAAAATAATTTAAAGGAAAATTGCACATTTACTGTTTTGTAAAATAATGCATTATTGCACATACTGATATGACTGCCTCCTTTTTGTTGTTGTAGGTCTCTAGATACTCCTGCAGCTCTAACACACTAAACTTCATCTTCTCCAAGAGCCCGTAAGACACAATCTGAAACGCATATTTAAGAGATACATTTTATAAGTACATTTCAAAATGGCTTGCACACATACACAGTGAGGAAGAAATTGAACAGAACACTAAGGCTGGTACTGATTTGAGTTCTGGATATAGCATTGATATCATTCATATTCAAACAAGAAACTCACAGTGTCTGCATCGACAAACAACGTGGGACATTCGGAGCAGGATGTCAGCATCTGGGATGACCTTACAAACTTCGCTCCAATTCCACGAAGGCCGTCGCCAAGGTAACCAGCAGCGTCACAAGTCAAGGTGCAGAACTTGGCCTGTATACTCTGAAGGCCAGAAACAACATATCCTGTTTAATCTGTCCCAGACCAGAATGTTGTCAGTGCCAACAGAATATAATCAAAGACGTGGCATGTCTTCTAAAACTTTGGCACTACTGAGTTGTCAGCTTTGTGTGATGAACCAAAGAAAATCCAAGATAATTAATAAAATCAGCATCATTTGACATCAACAACACAGCCTGCAACAATTAGAATGTTAGAAAAGTGTCAGTTGATTAATTTCACTTCTTTTTTGTCATTAAGATAGGTCTTTATTGATAGACAAGATAGACCTTTATTGAAGCTGCTTGGCAAAAATCGACATAATAAGGACCAGTGACAACCTACTGTACCTCTATTAGTTACCTGAAAGAGTGAGGAGAAGACTTGGAAGGTGTAAACTGCACAGGAACCATCAGAGTCAGCCACCAACTGGCTGAGATGATCTCGCCAAGCCTCCTCAGCATCATCGCATACAGTCGGCTGGAAAGCGGCCAGGATGGCGGAGAAAAAGGGAGAAGGCGGAGGGGAGGAACGGGACTCTAGCAACAGCTCTTCCTTTTCCTCCTCTGCCTGTGCCACAGAGCTCTGCTGGTCTCCAAACCCACTGGAGGAAGTGAGGGATAGAATTATGTGGTGAGGGAAAAAAAGTTTCAAACATCAGCTATGAGAAACTTGAGAAAGTCTGACTTCTCCAGACTTTTCTACTAAAACTGAAACAGAATCATGTATGTTGAGAGTGTGAATGCAGTACCTGGGTACACAACATGTCTCGTTGTCAGTAAAGAAGTTGTTTTCCCTCTGGGATGTGCCTGCTGTTAGAATGTCAGAACTACTGAAGGCAGGCGGCGACTCGCAAATGCAGAGTGAGATATTGTCCTCATTAACAATGGCTTCTTCTTCTTCAGCCGAATCCTCAGCCTAGTTTTGGACAGGATTCACAAGAAAAGCTTGTTAAGTATTTATCGCCAATGCAAATGCATTACATATTCGTCATACAATGGAAACAGCTGTGGCTACGAAAAAATATTATTAAGAAAATATCAGATTATGTGACTGACTTTCTCATTCTGAGCAGTAAAATGACATTAGTGACAGACTGACTGGTCAGACTGATTAATCTGACGATTTTCTTTTTGTGGCTAAAATACAGAAGTGATTCACCCAAATGTCAGTTCCATAATTTACTAACTGCTAAACATTTTCTGTCATCAAATACTTTTAAATTGTATCTAACATTTTAATTTATACACTGATTTAATTATTGCATTTATTATAATTTAAAATATATTTTATATATACTGATATTTAGATAGAGGACAGGGTGGCTAATGAAAAAATAATAATAAACATATTGGTCAACCAACTCTGTAATTTATTTAATAAAAATATTTATAATATATATTTATAAATAAATATTCACTAACCTTTCAAAATTACAACTCTTCATGCTGAGAATCGTTTCTCTTTTGAGTGCTTTTTTTATCATTTAAATTATTATTATTTTTTTAATTTTCAATAATGTCAAATTCAGATATATTAAGAGACCTTTAAAAAATTGGAGGACCAAAATCTGATTGGTCTGGTCTCATGTTTACGGCCACAGGCAATGGGTACACTCTCTTTATTTGCACCCCTAGCATTTAGCATGTGAGTGATGGTACAGCTTTGCCACCCACAGAGAAGCCATACACATTGCCCTAGTGGCTCATCCAGAGTCTCTTTCTGAGACTGTGGTAGGCAGTGATAGGCCTCACAGACAAAAAGCGGTTAGCAGATAGAAATGGCGAGCTTTTGAAGAGCAAGGATTACTTGCAATTCCATGCCGTTTTGCACATTAATCTAATGCCCCATCCTAAAAAAAAAGAGCATGTCAGACAAAAATACTATCAGCAAACTACCTCCGAAAATCTACCCATGCTAAAAGCAGAGTCAGACATGTAAAGCAAGCACAGAAAGAGATTTCTTTTTCAACCGTGTTAATGGAAAAACTCCAGAACAGAAGTGCGGTATGAGTAGGAATGTGTCTGCCCCCAAAGATCAGCCATTTTGAAGCTCTTATTCACCCGATGGTTCGAGCCCTCGGGTGCTGAGATCTCAAAGCTAGGAGTTGGGGTGGAAAGAGGAATTGGGTCAGCTTGAGTGTTGTCAAAGGAGATGGGAGGGGAGTCCATGGGGTTTAGTTCCTCAGTAGGAGACAGGCCGACATTCTGAAATGAGAAATAGAGTTTAATTCGGCATTATAGATATAAAATAGTTTTTAAATGTGTCTATAAAATAGATTTTATAGGTTTATAATACATACTGTAAAAGAAAAGTTTTTCTAATCTTTTATCAAAAGTTTTCTGCCTATTCACAATCCAAGTATCCTAATGGATAAAATCCTGCCTACAATATTTCCCAATGAATATCCTGTTTCATACATCACATTAAGTTAAATAGTGTACAAAAAAACAAAAACAAATTCAACATTACTAGTTGTGAAGCTGAGAGAATCTGGCTGGCTGTGAGGGACTCTTCCTCAGAAGACTCGTCAGATTCATCATGGACGATTGGACACAGGCTTGGTGAACTTCCTGAGAGCTGGCTGTCCTCCTCCATTGGTTGGGCTTCAGCCTGGTCCAGGCTGTCAATGGAACGCCTCCGCGCACCCCAGTTAAAGCTGTCAGCTGTCTCACCCTGTCAGAGAAAGAGTGAGAGAAATACAGAGTCCTCTGATTTGGTATATAGCACACAACCACATTTCAAAATTCACACAGTCATAGGCTACAGCAAGCTCTATATGTGAAGGTGCTCAGTCTGTGAGTTTGTTATATAAGGATATCTCTCCATATAAAGGATTAACACAGTAGTGAACAGGAACACATTTCTAAAACATTCTTGCTCTTGTAGAGTAAGTGATAAAGTGCCTGAAGGCCATTTGCTTTGGAAGAGGCTCAAGTTATCACTGCAGCCACATGCCTTACAATCAGAGTCAAGAGTCAACATCCACATTCCTTCACAGATCCAGTTCAGTTCAGTGTTTAAGCTTTCCTCTAACAGGGCGCTTAAACACTGAACTCAAAAAGTTTTACTTTTGCTACACTACTTTAATTACTTTCTTGTAACTTGACCAAAACAAAATGGTAAAGAAGCAAGAAGAAGTCTTTGATACTGTTACACTGAAGGTTGGAACTAAAATATGATGGCTTTATAAAAACACTCTTGAAATGTATTCAGAAGGGAGAATTTATTTGAAAGGCTGAATCTGCCCTTTTACAGTAAGTGTTTCTGTGGCATTGCAGCTTCAGCAAATTGGTACAGTGACCTCAATGAACTGACTAATGATTTCATAAGAGAGTGCAGACTAGAGATGGCCAAGCTATTAAAATGCAGACATATTGAAATATAATAAAAACCGCATTTATAAATGCTACCCACCAATTAATTCTTACATTTTCTAAGATACAATGCAGTTCAAAAGTTTGGGGTCGGTAAGATTTTTGACAGAATTCTCTTATGCTCACCAAAGCTGCATTGCTTTGACCAAAAATACAGTAAAACAGTAATACTGTAAAATAGTACTACAATTAAAAATAACAGTGTTCTAAATTAATACATTTTAAAATGTCACTTTTTCCTGTGATTGCTGTGGCAAAGCTGAATTTTCCAGTCTTCAGTGTCACTTGATACTTCAGAAATCATACAAATATGCTGTTTTGGTGATCAAGAATTTCTTATTATTGTCATTGTTGAAAACAGTCAGGCTGCTTAATATTCTTGCTTAATAGCGTCCAAAACAACAGCATTTATTTGAGAAGAAAATCTTTTGTATCATGCCTTTACTGTCACTTTTTTGTGTGATTTTAAAATAAATAATTTGAAAAAATAAATAAAATGTTTATTAAAAAAATTCTGTGGTAAAGTTTGCACATTTCATCAATGAGGATGAATATGTTTGATCTGTATCTGTTTGATTGTATCTGTCCAATCTAAATGTGCACATTTTGATTAATCCGTTTTGATGTGCCACTGTGTTTTCAACATGATTGAAACAAAATTATGTTTCTAGGTAGAGTTATGGACGTGCATCACAATGCACAGAATGTGAATAAACACAATATCATCTTGTCCTACAGCACACAGCACAACATTAGAGGATTCCTGGGCTTACCTGCATCTCCTTGATGGCACAGACATAAACAAGGAGAGGAGAATGTATTACAAAGAGTTAAAGAAAGTTACAGTGGTATTGCGCAAACAGTGCAACAGTTTATCTCTGACTGATACTTTGCAAAAGTTTAATGCTCAGCTCTGCTTTCCCCAAGGGTCCACTTTACTGCAGTCAAAACAAAGTTCACCCAAGTAATTTGGAAGTCAAAATATTTCACAAGCAAGAGGGAGCTGATCATTTTGGTTTCGTTTTTTTTAAGATCTGCTCACCTCTCCATCTTCCAGTTCCACATCCAGGAAGTCAAAGTCCCTGAACACACGGAACTGCTGTTCTGAAGTGGTGTCATCCATGTTTTCGGTGTCCCGTGTGCCGTCCTCAGAGGACACCAGACTGGGCTGGTGCTCAATCAGGTCCAGTTCCCCACAGGATGAGAAAATCACCTGTAGGAAGGGCTTTAGAATGATTTCTGACATATTTTCAAATATTTAATACTGGATGGATAACATATATGTCACTTACAGATGGGTTTTTGGTGAGTCCAACTTCTTGGCCACACAAGGTTAATACATTCACCAACTTCTCACGAGTTCTTTTCTAAATTGGAGAGAAATAACACAAAAATAATAAACATAACAAAGAAAATTAATTTAATTAAGTGCATAAATATATAAAAATAAAATTACATTGAAAATAATTGAATTAAATTAATAAAAGGTTCAATTAAACAAAACAACAAATAAGAACATTAAAATAGAGGGGATATATAAATGCAAATCTTATTTATGCACTGTTCTTCAGCAAATGTCAGAACTTCAAAGAGTGTATTTGTGAGCACTCACCTGTGAGGACTGTGGTCGTTTCCAGCTGACAGGCACCAGCACGTGGTTGTTTTGGTAAGAGCCCGAGGATGTAGAGGAGGTACTGCGTGTCACGGTAACCCCACCTCCATTCTTCCCATCTTGCCTCGGAGAACCGTGAAGCTCGTCATATCGCTGGCCAATCACCGGTGTCTAAAACACACACAATGGCACGCACCATTTAAGCCCATCTGATCTTTTCTTTACATGTCATGAGCTTGTGGCCCTCGGCCCAAAAGTCTTTATTCAAGTGCATTCCCTTTCCTAACGTCAAGTTGCCTCGGATCCCGACCAACTATTTAGGACCTGCTGGAAAAAGTGGACGTCTTTTCTCAATGGTCCTGCTCCTCTGTGTCTCGTAGTGGAGCTTTGAAAAACAGAACTTCAATAAAGGGAGCCAAACAAAGCTTGGGGGAATGACAGGATTTCCATTATTGAGGTCACCTGCCCTTAATTCCTGTGAAATCCTTTCTGCTGGGATGGAATTGAGCATGTCCGTTTTGAGTTTTTTTTCCTACTGTCTCACCAACTTGCTAGAGGCATGTTCCAGAGGTATTTGACAGAGGAGTCTGCTTTGAGACTCTAGAAGGGCTGATGCAAAGCGCCACAGCCGGACTGACATCATTTCCTGGAATTCATGCACTACACAAATAGCTCCCTGTTTGGTTCCCACACTTTAAGGCCAGGTTGTTCATATTTCCATCAAGTTTTAAACAGAAAACCTAACCTTCAGAGTTTGCTTAAAACAAATGTTACAACAAAACAACAAAAAATGCATGACTCCACCCTGGAAAATGTGGACAAATCCATCGAGGATGCCAGCATTTGGTGGTTCACTGGCATGGCTCACTTTTACACACTATGTACCATCTCAGCCTTAATGTACACCACCACTTAAAAGAACAACTTTCTCTTTTTTACAATAATAATAATTTTTAAATTATAAAAATAATATCTAATGATAAAAATAATATTTAGTGTTTTATTAATAATATTAAATGTGTTGTGCATTTAAAAGTACTATATCAATTGAAATACTATAATACTTTTTTATATAATACAATACAATACAATATAATATAATGTATATTTTAAATCATCAAATTATAAAATAACGCAAATGGAAGGTACCAAAAAGGTTTAAAACCATTTTTAGCTCCTTCAAAGTCACCACCCTTTCCCTACATCCCAGTTCTGCACACTCATCCTCTTAACCAACTTTATGAGGTGCATCCTGGGATGGTTTTTAAATAGTACTGAATGACTTTACATGCATGCTGGGTAGTTTTTGTTTGCTACAAATCTGATTTCAGGCATTTATAGATAAGCCTCAGGGTTTTATAGATCATGAAAAACATAAATTCAGTGTCCAAATTGTTGACTTCTACTGTTTAATGACAACAAAGAAAGTAAAACAGACACAAAAGGCCAGAAAGGCATGTCATACCTCTGAAATGTCAAAGTGAAAGTCAAGGGTCTTTCCAGGCAGGGCTTTGGAGGGTGTGTCCCAAACACGCCTGACATCCACAGTGGATGCGTTACTCTGCGGGGATGAAGGCGAAACCAGACTAGCCGAGCGGGAGACCACCAGCTTTAATATGTTCAAGGCTTCCTTCCAGTGTGCAGTCTAAAGTCACAGAAACAAACACAAAACAGAACTAAATTATTCTCAAAGGACACATTCAGAATCTTGCTCACCTCCCAAAGCATTACATACAGTCAATCCATCTTCACGAGCAGTAGCTGTCTCTTCCTCTGCTGAGATAAACACACAAGCCCAGCGAGGGAAGCAGTAGTTCAGAGGAGCGTCTTTGCTGTGAGGCCACACTGAAGGCCTCAGTAATGTGGACAGCAGCCAATAGGACTGACTGTTTATAGACTGCTGCTGGGTGTGCCTTTGGATTTATAGCCCTGGCATAAGGTCCTGTTTTTTTATTCTCGTTTTTTCTCCCTCCGAAGGAAGGGTTGAGAGATGGAAAACCAACAGTAATACCAAGGATGTAAGACAGCTTGAAGTTTTACAGCAGAAATGCTATAAAACACTATTATGTCATGAGTAAATTTAGGCTGAATGATACGAGCCAGTTAAATGCGATCATTGAGGATAATTTTAGAAGCGCCCACAATAAATATTTTGTGAAAAGCTTTAGTGTAAAATGATAACTGATTAGTTATATCTTTATGTTGTGTTTCCTTTAACCATTCGACTTTATTCAGTTGATTCAGATTTACAAGCTCTTGATTCTAAATCGGATTCTGATTCATTTCATTATATCTCAGTTATAATGTCTATTTTGCTTACATATCCTTACCATTATCTTGCAGTATAGTCTTTTTACTGCATCACATTCAATACACACCGCAAATTCACATTTACAACTATAACTTACTACTTTTGAATGCACTGTAGCAGTGTTGGTATTGTTAACTAAAACTTTAACTATTAAAAACGGTTTCCGTATATAAAATACAATAAAATAAAATAAAATAAAATATAAAAATTTGAAATAAAATGAAATAAAATAAATATAAATATCAGCTGAAAAACTGAAGCTTAAAAAAACAAGAAATGTTGCTTTGGCAACTAACTAAAATAAAATAAGTTGAATTTAAAATATTAAAATGACAAAAACTGAAAAAGGTAAAAAATGTAAAAAAGAAAACTTTTAAAAAATTATATAAATTATCAAAGCACATTACAAAATTAAACACTGAATTTAAAAGATAACTGAACATGCTAATTCAAGCTCATTCAAAATATAAATAAATACTACAATAGTATATAAAATAAAAAAAATTTTCATAATAGTATATAAAATAACATTGTATTGTAGGTCTTTATGATCAAAAGCATCTGTAAATGACTACATTTTAATAAAAGCTGTGGAACAAATTCCATAAATAAATTCTGTATGTGATAAGTTAAAGGAGTCACACCTGAACAAACATCTCTATGGTTGTTAGAACCTCCATGTTGAAGAGTTTGGCTTGAATAGCACTCAGGTCCATGTGACTCAGTAGACTGTAGATGATTTGCAGAAGAGTTTGCTGCATGCTGGGTAATCCTTTCTCCAGCAACTGTTTACAAAACATGGAAAGTATTAGAAAGTTTTCCTGAACACAATGTATGTGTATGTTCACATTCCAGTCTTGTTTATCATACTTTTTTTCCTTAAAATTTCAAATGTCGTAAGAGAAACTTTTATTTGTGGTCTTCCTACCTCCGCCATGTAAGTAACCATGCTGAGTGTGCTGTCGCTGAACGCTTCATGTAGGTAGCGGCACACCACATTGACCCAAGAGAAGCAGTCACGGGTATAGGAGTGCGTTTTGTACAATGTCATCACATGGGCAAGGTTGGACAGCTTGGAGTTCTTTTCCTCAAGGCAAACCTGTCATTCAAATTGAGTGATTTTCAACAAACAAATGTGATGCAGATTCTCCGATTAGCTATAAAAGTGCATTTATAGTGCGGTTGAAGGTCAGAGTAACAGAAACAGACCTGGGAAATTCTCTCAGCCACGTCCTTACAGAATTGAGTAGGTGAGTCAAAGTGTAACACAAGATGGGGGATGAGGCAGAGCACGTTCAATGGGAAACCTGAAAGGTAATAGCAGATTTGCTTTCATAATCCCACTTAAAATGAGGGATGGACAAGAATTTTGGTGGATTAATGGAGAATTATGTTAGAAAGATACATTTAGCTGGTAGTAGAGACAAAAAGGTCTACCTATGACTTGTGAGGTGTCCACCACAGGTAGGCGTGAGACGGGCGTGAGCTGGCTGAACATCTCCAAGGTGAATTCTGTAGTGTTTGCAGAGGTGAAGCCCTTCAGAAGCAGCTGCTGAAGCCCAGAGAACTCCTTCCATTTTAACTGGATCTGGATCTTCTCCAGCTTCTCTCTGTATTCCTGCTTATCCAATGAAATGTGGCCTAGCAGCTTCCCTAACAACCTGAGGGACATCTGGTACTCAAACTCAAAGTCTGACTCCATGAGTGACACCACTGCCCAAAAAATGCTGGCCAGCAGGTTGCGAGGATGGTTGGCATTGGTCGGGTCGGTGGAGACCACGTTGTCTCTGGAGGAGGATGAGGACAGGGATCGGAGCTTGGAGATATTGCTCTGATGAAGGTGGATGCGGTCCAAGGTGGCACTCCGGGGAACCTCAGAGGAACGCTCAACCTCGCCAAAGCGCTTGGGTACGGAGTAGCTACGCTGGTGGCGTATTCGCTCAGAAGCAGTGCCTGATCCTGGGATCAGGTCCAGCTGACTGGTGCTTTTACGGTTTAGTGTTAACTTGCTGCTGGATGGAAGATCTGGTGAAGATGCCCTGCAGGAACACAGACTGATTACAAACAGGCAACGAAGCCTCTTGGACTTTTGATGTTGAAGTTAGAAGAAGACTTTAATCCTATAAAGCCTACTCATATTTCATACGCAAAAGGCTTCTGAATAATAAACAATTATTATCAAAACTTATTGAAAACTACTACTACTACATGCCTTCTGTCAACTGATTGATAGTTTTAACAAGTAAAAAACACATATGCAAACCTTTTTAGGTTTAAAAAAAAAAAAATTTGTCTAAAGGTTCAATAAACTGTTCCGTTTTTTTTTTTTAAACTAGATTTTTCAGACTATTCATGATTATTTCATATGTCAGGCTTTACATAGATAATGTTGTATGATGGGAACTTACCGTAGTATGACAAAGAAATCATTGTTCTTCAGGCACTCGGCTAGATTATCCACCACTGACTCAAGAGTGAGGAGAAGCTCCATTACATAACCCTGTGGAGAAGATGCATTTTAAGTTTCTTCGCTCACTGAATCAGTCAGAACTGTCATTAAGGAACCAGAAGCTCACCTGAACCTCCTCCCCGGGCTCCCCGACTACCTCCACCAAGCGTGAAAGCAGGTCAGACACAGCCAGCGCTGAGAGGGGCTGCCGTAGAGCTCTGAACACCTGGAACGAACGTCCAGCGTAATGTCTGGAGGAGCTGCACAGAGCCATCTGCAATGCCACTTCACTCAACTGCTGCTCAAGCCTAATGTCTACAAGCAGACAGAACACGTGGCGTGCAAACACAAGGACAAAACTTAAAAACAGCATTAAAAATTCACCAGCTGCACCCTGTTAAGTTGGAATGACTGGAATGACTAAAGACAAATGTGACTTACCTGATTTGGACTCTTTGAACACAGAAACTACATGTCGCAGGAAGTTGGTAAGCTGCTCGGTACTCTTTGAGTGTTGATTCTTAGGAGTGATGTCTTCATGGCTCCACAATGGTCCAAAAGGTCTAAAGAAACCACACAAATATTCATATAATCTCTTACATATGCAGTATAAATTGTAAATGACAGGAAGAGCTACTTTCACCTTGACAGCAGTGTGATATGTTTGATTATTACTTGCTTGTGGCCAAAACTGCCACTAGATGGCAGAATAGGCCAAAAGATACAATTTTACCTGCAAACCAAACAGTTTCTTAAAAGTTGATCTTTCATCAATCAAAACGTAAAATAAACTAAATAACCAGACATCAATTGCTGTACATTAAATATTTTAAGCATGCATGATGAACATGCATGAAACCTTTTAGAGAAATATTTTGAATCAATATTTAAGTGAAAAAGGGTTGTTTTTCCATCCTGTACATACTGTATAAACTTGTTCACACTAGCAACTCAAATCCAGCTTTTTCCATATCCAATTCAAATCCAACTGCTTTTCTCTGTTGACCATACTGTAGCTGTTAATACCATAATAATAATTTCATTACTTTCAGTTATCAATATTTCTAGTAATTGCTTCATTACTTCCAGTTACTGTAAAAGAACGTCACTTGGTAGTGTGCAAATGCCTTCATTACTATGACAACCAAAGATGATGGCAGAAAATAGCTATACTCTAAATACCATACAGATCCACCTGATCATGAGCAAATAACAGTGCTTCCAGTCTTAAAGGGGTCATATGATGCGATTTCAAGTTTTCCTTTCTCTTTGGAGTGTTACAAGCTGATTGTGCATAGATAAGATCCCTGAAGTTGCAAAGACTAAAGTCTCAAAACCAAAGAGATATTCTTTATCAAAGTTAAGACTCTGCCACGCCCCCCTAAAACGGCTCGTTCTAACACGCCCCCACATATCTACCCCACTATGTGGAAATATTTGCATAGGATTTGTAAACCAGTCTGGAATTGTCTGCAGTGTGAACATAGTCTGAAAGAACCAACACCAGCACCAACATCAGACGGACGCCCTTTTAAACAACACCCCAGCGAGAACCACTCTGATGTAGACTGAGGAAATGCAACATACAAGTCTGTTACATCTTGAGTGATGTCAGATGTAAGACGTATCAGATGTGTCATTTCCTGAATCAGTTCCTGAACAGCTCTGGAATATTAACACGAAATGACCTTTCATTTTAATTATAGAACAAGACAAGTAACATTGCAAATTTCACACTTAGAGGCTATCTGGACCCTATTAAAATGTATTTAATAGTTAAACACTTTCAATATAGGAAGTTATTTTCAATATAAAAGTATGAATTTCTTTAAAAAATAACAAACAAAAACAAATATGACCACAACATTTTCTAACTATAAGTTCTTGTACCTGGTAGTGAGAAACTCAATGAGTTTGCTGCTCTTCTCGTCATCTTCAGTGCTGCTCTCCATTTGCTCCACCTCTTCCTGGGCCAGGTGAGGCAGGTTGGAGCTGCTGCCTCCAAGGCTCAGGCTGGACGAGGCAGAGGAGGAACTGAGGCCAGAATCTGGAACCGGAGATGCCTGGCCATTCCTCAGGAAGTCCACACCACCTGAACACCACATGTAGGGTAAGTGAAAATGTTTGGGAAGGAACAAGCTCTGAAGATGAACCCTCATTTTAGCTTACTCAACTGAAATATTTGAGCAAGACAAAAAAATAGGGTGAAAACATTCCTAAATGAGCCAAATCAAAGAACATTAAAGAACAATACTTCAATCACTATGCTGCTATGATAGGGCTTGGGGTATCTTATCAGCATCATTTTGAATTTGCCTAGACATGCTTTAACAGCATGGAGACCACCGTCTTGTGCAAACCAGTCCTGGGTCCGACAGATGGTCCCTTTGGAGCAAGAAGATAAAAATAGTCCATAGGAATGCTCTAATCAGACCTTTAGATGATCTGTGTATATATAATTGTTTTTGGCTGCACCTCCAAAAGTTGCACAGATAAGAATTCTCACCCTCCACCCCTCCACAGAATTTCAACATGACTGCACTCTCAAAGCTATGTGTCAAATGCCAAAGCCAATGAGTAAGTGTGCATGCAATGAGGGTGAGATAAACAGGATTCATGAAAAGTTGCTAAATTTGTCTTATTGAAGGCAGAATTTCACAACATTTAATAAAATGTAGAGCTTCACAAAGCGTCAAAGCATTCATCATTGAATTTGCCCTTCATTTCCAGGTCTAACAGTTATATAAAAACGAAGTTGCAAAATTAATGCAGCTGCAGCATAGTTTCAAAGTACTTATTTGAACCTTATAAAGTTATATGTATCATATTTGATACATGGATTTTGTAGACCTCTACATCATATATAAATAAATAAATGATAAATACATTTTAAAAACAATTTACATAAATGACCGTATTATCCTGATCATCACATTTTTTGACATATTCAAATGTTACGTCTCGTACCTGTGTAGAACTCAGGCTGGTAGATGGGTTTGAAAGTCAGGCTCTTGTTGCTGTTGGCATCTCTGGTGTTTAGCAGAACAGAGGCAATGAGGCTGAAATTGTTGTTGCAAGATAACGTGATGAGAAGGTGCAAGAGAAGCCTCTTACAGTGTTCAAACACCTCCGGGCGGTAGTGGTCCATACCTAAAAAAGAGCCACATTCTCAAAGTTAGAGGTTCACATTTGTACTTACACTCATTCATTATTGTTTAGGTTCATTTGGGGGGATTATGGAAGGGATAAGTGGGAATATCTGGTTCTAGCCTTTGTTTTGTTTGAGTCTTCCAACACCTAAACGTTGTTTTTATTTCAACTGAATAATGTTCCCTATCCGCAGGGATACAAGTATTTCACATATTTCTAAAAAAGATAAGGTTGGTCCATCCTACATGTTCAGGAGATAGCAGCTACTGCTTTCACTGACAACACTGTTCTCATAGCAAGCCAAATAGTTACAGTCATAAGACACATTGAGAGATGCAATGATTCAGATAAAATTAGATTAAAAAAAATGACAAAAGCAAATCCATTTTGGATAAAAAATACCAAGTACTACAGTAAAAGCAGTACATTTCATCTGATCACACCTGACTCAAGCACTGCAGCCTTAATCTAGAGGGTGTAATCCCTGATAAAATGCCCCAAATTGTGATGAGAACAGAACACAGGGGCTCTACTGACCCAGGAAACAGGCATGGAGCAGTAGAGGGAGGTGCAGGGCCCAGTCCTCCTTCACGCTGTGATCCACCACCAGCTCTGTCATGAAGATCACTGCTATGTTACACCTGCACCATACAAAACACACTGGTCTTTCAGTACATGAACAAAAAACACATACCAGCAATGACCTTTCAAAAAGAACAGTACATATTCAACAGCTGTGACTGAGTGACAAAGCAAATTATTTAAAGGAAGTATGTTGGTTTTGTCATTACATTGATGATGGCCATTGATATCATAGTTCCCGTGTAGATGTTTAAAAGAACATTGGTAACATGTTATCATGGTTTTTCGGGTCAGAGGGACTCTGACGACAGCACTGCAGTTTCTGATCATCTATTTTCCATCTGTCTGATAATGGCAGAGTGACGTGCTTTAAGATTTCAGGATTACATAAGAATCAAGTCTTATGATGAGAGATTAAATTTAACAAGTCAAGTACCAGTGCTTTAAAAGCTAGTATGCAATTCTAGTCTGGGTGACCCAGCAGACTTCGACATTCAATCTAAATCTGAATAAAAGGTTGTTACATAATATAAAGTATAGATTTATTTTTGTTGCTTAATGGCTGTTTTATTGTAACAAAATAAATAATTTAATTGAAATAACATACTTTTTTTGTAAAAACAAATAAAAATGCAATAGTTTACTTACAATGGAAGTCTATAGCACAATTGTACTGGAGATTTAGAAGTACAGATATATGACAATCATATTTTTGTTAAAGAATTTTTATAAATCATGCCATTTCCTGGTATGTTTGTGCAGGTTTACATGATCACAGCATGAACTGAAAGATCAGTTATAAAGATCACACAAACACTTTTCCTCCATTCTCCTCCAGTAATAAGTATAATGTTTAAGAGTTATGGTTACACTTTCAGAAAATATGAAAACTGCATATTTTAGAATAAATAAAATAAAAAAATAAAACTAAATAAAACTAAAATAAAACATGAAACTTTAGGAAACTCCAGAAGTTTGACCTGTGGAGAGGTCCTCGTGGGGTGACTGTTTCAGGTAGATAGTCGACCAGCGGTGCCCAGCAGCCTCCGTTAACTGGCATGGGAAGAGGAAGCGGCTGATTGGTTTCCAGCACACTCATAAGCCACATGGCATACGGTGGGAGCGGCTCACCTGTAGGCAAAGCAAAAAGGGTCAAAACAACACGCCATCCATGACAGGCATGCCTTTCATCCGTGAGACTTGCAATAAAACTGGAATTTACCTTCAAAGCATGAATGGTATGTAGACAGACAAACTCCATTACGGCCATACCTCATGTCTAATGCAATCATGCTCAAAAACCATTAAGCTTAAGCTATTTCAAGCTGAAATGTATTAGCAGAGCCGGCTATCAGAAATATCTCAAATTCAAGACAGGTCTAAACTATTTTGCTGCTTTGAAGTTTTCAATAATATTTAACATCCTTGAGCCAGAACTGTCTCAACCCCCAATGGGGGGGGTTGGGGGCATTTTAGACTTTCGTCTGCTGAACTTGACTTTGCTGAGAAGCCACTCCACCGCATATAGTAAATATCAATCATTCCTGAACTGTTTTGGCCCCTTTGTTGAAGTTATAAACTTGACTCACTCTTTTCCTCATCGTAGGAACCTCCAGAACTGCTGCTGTACCGAGACTCCAGGCGGTTATGTGCTCGTAAGATGTTGCTTAGCCTTTGGTGGACAGAAAAAAAACAAATTTGTCAATGCGTGTATCAAATACAAACATGGAAAATTATTATTCCCTCGAACAAGGCAGTTAAATCTTAGGTTGCTCCAGGGGAAGTGTACAGCAAGTCGCTTTGGATAAAGGTGTCTGCTTTATGATGAATTATAATTAGTTATGTTAGTAATGCTTATGGTGGGTGTAACCTCAAACTGTCATCAAACTTGACCCAGGAAAAAAGTACATATATATATATATATATATATATATATAATGACAGTGGGTACGGAAAGTATATATATATATATATATATATATATAATGAAAGAGTGTTAAGGCACACATGTAAATTGTGTGGTTTGTGGCACATACCTGTCATCACACTCCTTTGTGACTGGTGAGTCATCTGTGTCAGGGATGTATTCCTGGCCACACACCAATGTTTTGCTGCAGGAAGGTGGACCTTTAAAGACATATTTATTAATATAGCATGTGCCATGTGCTATACATGCAACACATGAATGCTATTTCAGCCATTTTGCTGCCTTTATGTATTTATGACATTTTGCCATGACAAAAGTTTGGGGTTGATATGATTTTTTAAATGTTTTTGAAAGAAGTCTCTTATGTCCACCAAGGGTGCATTTATTTGATCAAAAGATACAGTAAAAACAGTAATACTGTGAAATATCAGCAGCCATTCCTGCAGTATTCAGTGTGATCGTGATCAATAATCAATCATGCTGATATGCTGATTTGGCGCTCAAGAATAATTTCTTATTTTTCTCAATGTTGAAAACTGTGATACAATTTTTAAATTAGAAAGTTCAAAAGACCAGCATTTATTTGAAAGAGAATTTTTTTGTTACATTATAAATGTCTTTACTGTCCTGTTTGATCACTTTAATGCGATCCTTGCTGAATAAAAAAAGTTACAAAAAAAAAAACCTCAATGACCCCACACTTTTGAACAGTACTGTACTATATCTGCAGACAAATTCTCTAGCATGCATACCAGAAGTGGTGGTGGTAATTTTGCTTGTGGCTGAAAAGCGGTAGAATGGAGGATTGTCACAGTGCACCACCACAGGGTTCACAGGGTCTGTCTGCTGAAGTTCATAAAGCAGCTCCTCCATGGTTTGAATGGTGTTGTTGCGACAAAGGTAGATCACAACCTTCTTAATCTGAGCATAAATAGAGGAAGGACATAACTTGACAACTTAGCTTTCTTTAACCAAATGGCCTGCTTTACCAATAAAATCTTTACAACAAACCAAAATATAATGAAATAAATAAATGTGCAACTTACATGAGGCAGAAGAGAGGTGTCACTGCTGACTCCGCATAAGCTGATGAGGAACTGCAGGGTGGTCCGCAGGTTATTAGTCCATCGTTCATTACTGACCAGAGCGTTCCAAGCGTTTTCCATTTCTGCACCTGGGACATCATCCCCATACTAGCACACACAGAGACACAAAAATGAATTTATTCTAAATCCATAGATTTATAGTCTAGCATAGTCTAAAGTAACAGTGGTTCATCATCATACCTTTGCAGTCATGAACATGAGGTTGTTTAGGACCAGGGAGGAGGCCTGCAGCGACCCCCAGCCTGTGCCTCGAAGAGGGTGAGGTGCTGAGGTGTTGTGACTGTATCCCGTCCTGTTGTCCCCAGAGCTGCTTGGACTCGAGACCGTGGACAGCAGGCCTCCATCTACCATCTCAATGTTACTGAGCCAAGGGAGCAGGTAGGTCAGCATGACCTGACGCCCGTTTGGATGAGTGGTGGGAAACCTCTGACTCACCTCTAGAGATGAGAGATACAAAAAGATAGATCTTCATAAATATACAGTTTTACAGCATTCAGAGATACGAATGTTGTTTCTACATGCTGTTTTGGTAAATTTGCTGGTGGTTAAATGAATATTCCAAGTTAAAGGGATAGTTCACCCAAAAAATGTCATCAAATTCTCAAACCTGTATGAGTTTCTTTCTTCTCATGAACACAAAAGAAGATGTTCTGAAGAATGCTCATGACCAAACAGATGCTGGTAGCCATTGATTTTCATGGTATGGAAAAAATGGAAGTCAGTGGCTACCAGCAACTGGCTACCAGATTAACACAGTCAAGTATGACTTGAAAGATTGGCTAACAGAGACATTTCTCCTCCAGTAACTAGTATAATGTTTAAGAGTTATGGTTATACTTTAGAAATAGCGTGACAACTACATATTTTAAATGGTAATTATTCAAAATAATTTTGTGTGACAATCAACAGCATGCCACAGCAGTATTTTTGTTAACTAAAACTATTAAAAATAATTACTGTTAATTTAAATAAATCTGAAATAAAATATAAATATTAGATGAAAAACTTTATTTAAAAAAATCTTGCCTTGACAACTAACTAAAATAAAACATGTTTAATTTGAAGTACTAAAATGACTAAAACTGAAATAGAAATTAATTAAAGATAAAATTAAATATTTTTTAAAAATGACTACTAAAACTTTAAAAAAGTTACTAAAACTTAAACTCGATTTAAAATGAAAACTAAAAATAAAAAGATAATTTAAAATAAAAGCTAATTAAAATTATTAAATACTAAATAATATTAAAATAACATTGTGCCACAAATGCTGTCAGTAGAACTTAAGTTAAGAAAAAAGATCAAGATCACATTTTGCTATTAGAAGTTTAAAGTTTTAGCGGTTTTCACCTGTTAGAGTCTGTGTCCATCTCTATCCTTTCATTTCATACCTGAGAAAAGGGGCAAGGTGAGTTCAGGGTACATTCTGGCAAGTTGCTTTGAAAGCTGGGATACAGAGAGACTGTAGAGGGGTGGAAGAGGCCCGTGTGTCCCATACAGGATAGCACCACTTTTCTGTTCCACAATCCTCTTAGAATACACAGACAGCTTGGCCTCTAGAATCTATTCGACCAGAAAACACACACACACACACACACACACAAACAGATTAGCACACAAACACACCATTTAATCCAGTACACTTTCTATTATTGCAACACTTCTTTGGCAGAGAATGTTCTCTCTCTGACCTGCATTAATTGCATAGCGATCTCGTAGATCTCCCTGTTTGTGTCGGACGCTTTGAAGAGAACAAGGTTCAGCAGAGTCACAATATCACTGGAGTAGTTTCTGTGACAGAAAACAAAAGATTTCCTACATAAAAACAAGTTACACATAGATTGGTTTTACTAAATACGTAAATGAGAGGCTTCAGTCCAAAGACACATCTAGTCTTGGCACTATGTATGTAAACAAATTATCATAAGAAAGAAAGCAGGCAAGCGCTGCCAAAGCTCTACTGAATAGGTTTTAGGGGTCAGTGAGATTTATTTTTTAACATTGAATTCATTTTAATTACAGATGCACCGATTGCAATTTTCTTGGCCGATTCCGATTTCCGATTTTTTGTTAGTGTGATCTACCGATACCGATTTTCATCCAGTGTTATTTTACATTTGATTACTTTAATTTCTGTAGTCTTCATTGTAAAAATTAAATACAGATTAATGCTTACCAGTAATGAGGGAAAACAGCCGATTCCGATCCCTGGCCGATCGATCGGTGCATCTCTAATTTTAATTAGATAATCATTATTTCGTTACACAATATTTTTTATTTTATAATTTTATTTTATATTTTTAAATGCTGTTCTTTTGAACTTTCTATTTATCAAATAAACCTGAAAAAAAAATGCATTCAACTGGAAAATTCAATATTTGCTCTGGCTTTTCAGGCCCCAGCGTACCTGCTACCACAGACAGTGGCGATGGCTTTGAAGCAACCAGAGGCCAGCTGGCAGGAGCCGGTGTAACATCGGTCCACGGCCCAGTTAAACAGATTCACCTGATCTGGGTTAAGTTCCAGCAGAAGAACCACCACCTCACAGCCCAGCTGATGCACCTGAGGAGAATCAGATCAGAGGATCACATATGTTATCCATTGATGTGAATGCTGATACAAAACCACCTTAGCTGGTGGTTTTAATTATCTAATTAAAATGGTTATCATTTTAATTAGATAATCATTTATAATGTTACACAATATTTTTTTTCAATATAATGCTGTTCTTTTGAACATTCTATTCATCAAAGACATTTCAAAAATCTTACTGATCCCAAACTTTTGAACGGTAGTGTCTTGTTCTAACTCAACAAAATATTTCAGGGCACAAAGCCAGACTTTCACTTCAAGAATCAACATTTGCAGAACAATGAAAACATCGCTCATTCACAAGCTGAGAAAGGGAGAGTGAGAGAGACATCTAAGAAAAGTGGCTTGTCTTATGAAAAGCCCCTGAGCAAATTTGCACTGGGTCAAAAGGCACACTTTGAGAATCATTTTAAAGATGGTTGTGTTGGTTTAGTGCTATCAACACCAAAGGAGCGACTGAGGACGTATGTGGGTCATGTTGTTTCAGAGTGTTTGGCCGCATACCCGCAGATCTTGACAGCCAAGGATGTTATCCAGCCACTTATAGAGGTAGCCATCAGGAGAGAGCCCTACGTTGTCGAACACGGGGCCACAACAAAGGACAGATGACATGGCCTATGAAAGGAAGAAAAAACAACATTCTTTCATGCAAAACTTGGAATTTCCTGTTTTGAGGAAATCACGTCCTATCGTGTCCAACAAAACAAAAAAAATACTTCAAAGAAACAGGGAAGAGGCTCAAAGGACTCATATCATGTCTGGACATTTGTGTGTTTTAATGACGCCAGGGTCTTGAAATTACACACCTTTTACAAATGCTACAACATTGTATATGGTCGTCTTACAACACCCGCCTTTCCATTATGGGAAAGGGTTCACAGCAATACAAGAAGCTACATGTACACACACAAACAATTATAGCTTTAGAGGCGAGTGTAATTTTTCCAGAAATCCGAACCTGAACAAACCCAACGTGAACTATGTTTACACATCGTCAATCTGCAGAGAGCCGACATTATGAGTACGGGGTTCCCACAGACAAACAGAGCACATATGTGCTGTCATCACAAATGGACTCATTCGTCACTTAATTGACCCACTTTTGTCTCTTTGGCATGTGTGTCCACACTGAGGTCCTGCACTGTAAATGACTACAGCGCTTCCTGGGCTATAAGTAGACCTCTGGAGATAAAAATAGTGAAGTATATGTCTGTGGTCTAAATTAGCAACACAAGCAAAGCTTTAAATTAGAGCCAGGGTTAAACATCATCCCATTCCACTGCTTTCATATGTAAATTCTTCCAAATAAATATATATTTGTAAAAATATGTATTTTATTATTTATTTAATATTTTCAATGTATTATTATTTGTTCTAATGTTCCTCTTTGAACTAATATTTTCTTTATGACATTTTGAATCATGCATACATTACTGTTTAAAGTTTGGGGTCAGTAAGATTTTTTAAAATAAATTAATACTTTTATTCAGCAAGGATGCCTTTAATTAATTTAAATTGACAGTAAAGACTTTTCCATAGTTACAAAAAAAAAACTCCTGAAGGATTGTGTGACAGTTATTTTAAATTGTAATATTATTTCACAATATTGTTACTGTATCTTTGATCAAATAAATAGTTTTTACTGCATTCCTGATTAAAATATATTTTAAAAAGAACATAGTTATTTTAACTGGCAAAACTATTTTTCAATATTAATGTTTTTACTGTTTTTTTTTTTTTATCAAATCAATGCAACTTTTGTGAAAGGCTCCAACCCCAACCTTTTGAACGGTAGTGTGTACTTATAAATAAAATGAATAATGATGAATAATATACATCTTTTTTATTTGGAATGAAAACCCATTAAAAAATGTACTGTGTAATGGAAACTGCACAGTATGAATATATAAATTTATACATTATATAAATGTAGTCTTCACTACCTTAAGAGCACAATACTGGTATCGAGTGATCTGATGGTTCCGGTCACTATAGCGATCCAGGGGCGTGAACATGATACTGAAGGGTCCAGCCCATTGGCTAAAAAGGATGAAGAGATGGTGCCGAAGGCTTTGCTGAGGGAAGAGGAAACGTCGATGATGCACTATGATACAAATAAAACAAGGAGAGGAGAAGAGAGGTATTAGGTTTAAAAAAAAATTAAACATTTTATCAATGCAAGTTGGGCTACAGGAACACCTTCATGAAAAAATATTTTGTGATAGTGCCTAAACAATTTGAATTAATTAAAAAACTTCTAGTTAAATTTTTTTTATAGGAAAGAAAAGGCAAAATGACTGGCTGTTGAGCGACTCATCATTTGCCCATGATTTGGCTCTTCATCTAATCTACTGCTATTTTGGGCAGTGTCTCCACTTGGGAGTCTAAATCAAGACTGACGTCAGGAGTCCTGTGACTGAATACACTGTAACCTGGCAATGAATCCCATTTCCTAAACAAAGAAAATGTGGAACGTTTCCCAGAGCAAAATATAACTGCATGACCATCAGTATGATGTCATTATTTAATGTGAGGAATAAATATTTCAAGTGGAAAGAACAATATTATGACTATTTATGAATTAAATGTGTTGTGCACAAACAAGTAAGTGTATTAAAAAAGAAAATGGGCTAAATTGTGATTTTGTGTTGACATTAATTGTATACTGAGTTTGTGAGATGTCTTTTGCTTCCTCTTCACCTGGGACACACTGTATGAGGTTGGCCACCATGGCGCTGAAGTGAGCTCGGATGTCTTTGAGAATCTCCATGTCTTTGTCATTCTCGGCTTCCAGAAGCATCCGGGTCAGGTCCACATACTCAAGAAAGAGAGCGCCCAGGGCCAGGGTATCACGTTCCAGCGCTCCATTAGTGCTGAGAGACAGAGACAGGGATCATTTCATGTTTTCTAGCCTGCAAGTTCATAATGAGACGAAATGGAGGTGGCCAGAGAACAGAATCCATAATAATAACATCGTTCTCACCTGTCACTGATGACACCGGCATCCGCCAGCAGCTCAAAGATCCTGAGGAGCTGGAGTCTCAGCAGATCTCTTCTCTCTCGCCGTTTTTTATTCTAGAGGACATATTATGAAGCAAATTACTATAGACACTTGCAATATTTAAAATATATATTTTATTAATTTACAAATCTGGAAATCGCATTTTTAAAAATCCCTGACATTTTAGAGGTTTTCTATGTTTGTAGGAACCTTGTACTGTGAGACTTTTTTGCACTTTTTTTTAAGTGCAAGATAAGTCATGTATGCATTGCTTGAGCGGGCCATTTACAGTACAACAAGTTATGGCACATACCAGCTGATCTGACTGAAAAAAATTTTATTAATAAAGTATAACTGTATATAACTGACCTCAGGTCGTCTTTCCAAAGCTTCCTTCATCAAAGGATGCAGTTCCTCAACCAGCTCTCTATACGAGACACAACAAATATGAAATCAATAAGGTGAAAGAAGAATCGATACTGTGCTGCCAGGGTTTATAGAGCAATAATTGCTCTATTCCCATAAATACTTTTTTATGATTCCAAGAACTGAAATGAGCAGACATAACTAATATAATATGACATCTGATCACTTCTTTGGAAGTTTGTTCAGATTTAGAGATGATGTCAAAATTATAATTATAACTAAAAGTAGAAGTCAAGTGAAAATGGCCCTCACGCAAAGTCTAAATATAATGTAGTGTTTGTGCATCGCCTTATCAAAGTCAAGGAATTCAAAAACCCTGACAAGAGCAAAACAGAGGTATGACAAGAATGTGAACATCAGGTGCTGCTCACATCTTATCTGAAAAAAAAAAAAAACGTGCTGAACTTACATATCACATTAAAAACAATAATGTGTGATAATCAAAAATGAGTTGGTTGCATAATTTCATGGCACTATGAGAATGTAGCATCTTGTAGGAACTTGACCCATCTAAATGTCTACCAGTTACATTATTAGAGATCTTAAATGTTGATATATATGCTACATAGTACCTGAAAACGAGTGAGTTTGTGCGGCCAAATCCGAGCACCAAAGACTCTGTGATCTCAATGCTTTCTGAACGCATCAGAGAGACCAACTGCTTCAGAAGCCAGGCCACAGACGGAGTGCCCAGGATCTAATGAATAAGATGTTAATCAGTGATTCCATCAAGTCAATAAATGAAAGGGGCGCATGACTGTAGACATGACTGGTGCGTCATGCATAAGAAGCCCCACCCACCTTGCTGTCATAGCTGCTGTTGCTGTCTGTACTGGGAGTGATGATCTCAGGGGTGGAAGCTCGAAGATGACCCGGGCTCATGATGCTGGGTTTGGCCACGCCAAAACACAGAATCAGATAGTTTCTCCAGAGAGAAACATAAGTGTCCGCTGAACCAGCTGAGCTTGTCTTCTTGGCGTTCACTGGGTTGCTAAGAGATCACATTTCATATTGTGAAATGTTATTGCCATTTAAAACTTATATTTTCTATTTCAAGATATTTTAAAAAGTAATTTATTCTTGTGATGGCAAAGCTGAATTTTCAGCAGCCATTACTCCAGTTTTAAATGTCACGTTACATCCTTCGGAAATCATCCTAAAATGTTAAACTGTGTTTAAAAAATATTTGTTATTATTATCAATGTTACAAACAGGTGCTGATTAATATTTTTGTGGAAAACATGATTTGTTTTTCAGGATTCAGAATAGAAATTTTGAAAGAACACCATTTAATTGAAACAGAAATCTTTTGTAATATTATAAACATCTTGACTCTCACTTTTGATCAATTTAATGCATCTTTTCTAAATAAAAGTATTCATTCTTTTTTTTTTAAATGTACTGGTCGCAAACTTTTGAACAGTAGCCTATATGAATGAATGTACAGGGTTTTTAGGCCCTATAGTGCTAACTATATTTCTTATCCTAGTCATGTGACTGGCTGCAATAAAACAAATGCGCTTAAAACACTTGCTTGCCAGAGTGTAATATTCCATGAAACATCCGTGTGAACAGTGAGACATGAAGGCAATGTCATGCATGTATTATTATGAGGAGTTGATTAAGCGCCTCCTCCCGTCTGTGGGCTGGGGAACATGGTTGGGATTGTTTTGATGGGACGGTGGCGGAGCCATCTTGTTTTATATCCGTCCTAAGCCCGTATACCGAGCCAGAGGAAACAGCCCTGGAATATGACACTATATCCCGACCCTAGCCAACTGAAATAAACACATCCGAGTGTCGAAGCTTGTTTCTGATCGACGGAATACACACAGAAAGCGGAATCGGCTGTTCGTTGCGATTTATTTCTCAACATCGGCGGCTGGTGCTTTAACTGCATTTTCTCTCGCACATTTTCTCAGGTGTAAGACACTATGAATGGAGGATAAATGTGGCCGAAGGCTGACAGCGGTGGTTTTGTGCTTCTCCTCTTCATTCTGACAGTAACAGATCCGTCACGGCCGACCAGAGATCCGTTCCACTCCACCAGCCACTGCAGGTCCGCGTGCTGCCCAGCGGGGAGAGACGCCTGCAGGGAAGTGGAAGGGAAGAGATCATAGTAGCCACATATGTAGAGAACTCAGCAGTGTAATGAAAGAAAATTGGTTTAATACCAAAATCTTGGGAGAATTTTGTAGAATGTTGTCATTATAGACAAAAACACAAAATGGATTTATGTTAAATTTAGCTCTTGAATCTGCCAATTTAGTATTGACATCTAGTATCTATGTGATTTTGAACTTATTTAAATCATTGTTTGTATAAGTCATCACCTAATACGTTAAACTCCAAGGTCAGAGAAGTAAAACAGACTTTCTTATAAACTCAGAACAGAAGACACTTTGTACATGTTGAGCGAAACCGCAAAGGACTGAACAGAGAGGCACTCACCGAGTCAGCCACCGCCACGTGGGCAAAGCTCTCAAGCACCACTGGGCACAGCTGGTCCAGTACATCTATCATGGGCCTTTCATCTTCCTGTGTAGTAACCATAACTGAGAGGATGTATACTCAAAGGCCTATATCTGATCAAGTCAGGCTCTTACCTCAGTCTGCCCGATGGTGAGGAAGATTTGGCGGACCTCTCGAAGGATGGACACAGCTAGTTTGCGTGTGCCTGTCTGGCAGGAGCACAGTAGCACTAAAGCGAGACCCTCAACAGCATGCAAGACTGTGGAGTGAGGGGGCCGTTCAGCAGGCAGTTTGCTTTCCACAAGAAACAACTCAGATATTAGAGATCTTCTTATGATTTGACACTGAAACTTTTTTTTTTTGCCACTTACTTCAGTGGAGCAGATCTTTGATGTGTCCAGAATCTTGCTGGTGCTGAGAAGGGCTAGTTTCCACTGTGTGAGCAACTGAAGCAGTAGTTTAAGTGAGGAGTCCAGCAGGGTTTGGTGTGTGTCCTGAATCTCTCGAAGCAGGAAGCTGCAATATCCCAGGAGCACTTCCTCCCGCCAATCTGAGAAATCCACCAGCAGACTCTGCAGGGAATTCTGGGCTATCAGACGCAGTTCATCATCCATATGGATGGTTAACCTGGCAGTTAAAAGACAGAAAAACATGAATACAGCAGAAAAAAAATATATATATATATAAATTATATAAATATCTAAATATTAGTCAAAGACTAAATATACCAAATATACCAAAAAATCGTATTAGGCATATATAGAACAATAATCATTAGATGATATTAAAAGAGTCATTAGATGATATTAAAAGACACAGTGCAGACCC